AAGTTCCCCCCCTCCTGTTTTCCCCCAAAAAACTCCCCTAGCTCAAATCGAGAACACACAATGCAAAAAGGGAGAAGCAGCTGCAAGCCTCCTCCAATTATTGTGCTAAATTACCAAGCCAAAGGCGTTTAAAAAGAGAGGGAGAGGGAGAGGAGAGACAACAGATCGAGAGAGAGAGAGAGAGAGAGAACATGCAATTCTAGTACAACATGGATCCAAACTCACCATGGCAGAATAGGTGTGGACTAACATCTGGAAATAAAAAAAGTCTTGTAATAGCTAAAAATAAAATAGTGGCGATAATACTAATAATTGGAGGGGAAAAATATCAAGGAGATCTGCAAAGGGACGTGTTGGACACAGGAGAACAGCTTGAGATATTTCGAAGTCTATCCATCAAAAAAAAAAAAAAAAAAAAAAAAAAAAAAAAAGACCAATGCCCCCAAAACCGAGCCTGGAAACCTATATCTACATATATGATTTACCCCTCCCTCTCTGTTGTTTTTTTTTTTCTTTTTTTTTTTCTTTTTTTTTTTTTTTTTTCCCTTTGAGCTCCCAGACACAATCCTCTTCAACCCAAGGCTAGGCTCAGACTGCTCCGATACCCCTTCCTCCCTTTCCTTCCCTACACCGCCTCATAATAATTGATATTCATGACTATTAATATTACACGACTACTTTAAAGGGAGAATGCAGGACCAAATGGAGCGTGAAGCTGGCAGCCAGCTCGAGAGCTCCCCTACTATTGTAAATGACGTTCATTCAGTGGAGAATTACTAGATGTAATCAGATGAGGGGGGCTGGCAGAGTTTGGGGAGAGGGAGAGGGGGGGAAAAAGTTTAGCAAGGAAGAGGCATAACTTCAATTAACTCAAGCGGAGGAAGATGTGTAAACTAGACACCGTGGGTCGGGAGCAAAGAAGGGAGATGGAGCAATGCTAGAGGCGAAGAAGCAGCAGCAGCAGCAAACCGTATTTCCTTCTTTTGCATTTAATTATACGAGAAATTGATTGCCTTTGGTGCTTTTGTTCTTATAGCTGTTTTTTTTTTCTTTTTAACAAATTATGAGAAAAAACAGCTTTTCTTTTTTTTTTCCTTTTTCCTTTTTTTCTTTTTTCTTTTTTTTCTTTCTTTTTTTTTCTTTTTAAGAAAGAAGAAATGAGCGACCATTATGCTGTAACTATTTACAGCACAGATTAAGCCATTTTTCTGAGTGTTGCAGCTCGTACTTATTAACAATGTCAAAATAAATACATGGATCGGGGCTAAGCTGTGCTCTATCTGATCCCGAACAGTCTTCCTCCTGCCCCATAGGAAAACAAATAAAAATAAGAGAAGGGGGAAAAAAAAGGTATACACGAGTATCCTAAATTTTCACCCAAATGTAAAATGCATGCCGTGCCTTTTAAAAGATAGTAAATTTATAGTTTCGAGGCAAAGCCAGGRGCGATATAAAACCTTTTTGATGTTGCAGGAACCCGTTCAACTGGACTGTCTGCCATTTCTGTTAAAGTTCAACTTACGTTCCTTCCTAAATAGACTCACACTTCCCAAAGCAGCCCCCGAACCCCGCTGCTCCGTACAGACACACGCGCGCACATACACACTTTTGTTTTAAAAGCAGTCGACTTAAGTGGCTGTGACTCCCACCACCGCCGTGTTGTTAATTATAAATCAGAAAGAGGAAGAGAGAGAAACATTTCTTTCCCCCCCCTAGATAAGCTTAGGAGGCTTTAGTTGCTTTTAAAAAAGAAAAGAACACATAGAGATCTCTTTTCCTTAAAAGAAAACAAACAAACAAAAAACTCTCCACGTTGCAAGCCCACCCAACCGCTCCCGCAAAGCTGCCTGTTCTCTCACGGCAATTTAGAAATGCGAATGTCCACCAAGCGCACAGCATCCAAATCTGCCTTAAAATATCCTCCTTAAGAGCGAAAAAAAAAAAAAAAAAAAAAAAAAAGGGGGGAAAAAAAAAAAAAAAAAAAAAGGAAAGGGGAAGAAGGGGGTCCCAGGCTTCGCGCCCGGGGCGGCAGTGGGACAATGGCCGGGCCGGCGGCAGGGAGGGACAAGCGGCCCGGGGGGGTCTGAAGCCGCATCTGCTGTGGCTCTTTCCAGCCTCCCGTCGCTAATCAGCCCGGCGGGAGCTCCGCGGAGCCGAGCCGTGCGCGGGAGGGCGACCCGCCGCCCTGGGCGGCAGCGGCGCTCCGCCGCCCCTCACCGTGCCTGCGGGCCGCCCGCGCTTCCGCGCCGTGTTCCCCCCGTCTCCACCCGACCCAGCCGTCGTTTAACCCCCAGGATTTTGCCTCTTTATGCCCTAAACGCGCTACCGGGGCGGCACACAAGGGGCTGCCGGGGCCCCGACGGCGCTGCCCGTCGCGGTGCCCCGGGGGTGGCAGCGGCGGCGCCGCCCGCCCTACCCCGCGCAGCCACCCCCGTTGCGCCCCCGGCGCGAGTCTCTCCCCGAAATAAGAAAAATCAATTAAAAAAAAATCTAAAAAAATATAAGCCCGACGCCTTTCCTTATGCCTTTGCCCCCATTTAGGTACAATTCCCGTATAACTTACGCGGTGCGCGGTCGCCGAGCCCGTTTTGTAAAGATGTCGTTCGTGACAACGTGAAAAATTAGGAAACATTTCACAGCTTTTTTTGCTATAGTGTTATTCATTTTGATATTGTTATTCTTTTTTTTTTTTTCCTCTCTCTTTTTTTTTTCTCCGTCTACTCGAAAATAGCAGAAGTCTGAATATAGCAGTCAACTTTTCTCGTCGACGGACTACRCGGAGCTGCACTTGGGGTACATGAATTCGAGTGTGTGTCTTCATAAAAGTGCAAGAATGTATGTATCCTTTGATTAATATATGTATACTTGTCTATCGTATCTGTTGTTATATCGGTATAAAAAAACGTAAAAATAATATCCGATTGTGAAAGCGAGAAGACAAAAAAAATACACATTCAGAATGAGCTTAGATTGTAATTGGAAATAATAGACAAAAATACAAGAAAAAAAAAAGAAAAGAAAAGAAAAAGGAGAGATGTGTCCAGTCTATGAATACCAGACTGTGCTTCTCTTCTATTTTCAGCTTTTTTTTCTCTTAATCGACATTTGTCCATATTTAATCGAATTATATTTAATTCTAGGTCTAAACAATCAACTCTAGCCTTTAAGTTGCCTCATTCCAACCCCCAGATCATTTCTTTGATGTTTTAAATCGCATCAAACAGCTTTTCCATGAAAAAAAAAAGTTTAGTACTTGACATGCTGAATAGAAATATGCAAATAAATAAGCATTTAAGCATTTAGTCTTGGTTTTCTATCTATACATTGTGTGTGTTGGTGTGTGCATTTCTATAGCTGCCCATATGTATATGTAGATACAGATATATATAGTCATTATATAATCAAAYCTATATACAGCTAGAAATATATTTAAATATACATTTCATCTCTTACTCATATGCATATTATATACTCACCTCATAGATATCTTCATACTTGACATTTTCAACCAGTTTCCAGAGCATGATGGCAGGCTGTTCTCTAGGAGGTGAGTGCATTCATGTGAAGAGCAGATGTCTGGATTCTCAGTACTTCTCTGTCTGTAATGATCCATCTATAATTGGAAATGGGGGACAGACACCAAATCCGACGTTCCTCTTCCATCGCAACTTATATCTGTTGTCTGAAACAATAGGCTGCAGAAGTAAACCTCAATCGGATAGTAAAAAACATTATCTGTTACATACTTACATCTATCTACAGACATATATGTGACTACATATATACATATATGCACATATATAGACTTAGACTTACATGAAGGCATATAAAGACATATATATATGCACAGTTGCACACCCACACACATACATACACGAACAYATGTACACACATATAGCACCAAATACACAACTTTTTCTATAAAAAGACATTTATAAATCGATATATATATGCATGSAAAATGTAGATATCTTCATACATATAGAGGCACATATATACTATACTTATATGCATATATACATATAAACCTGATCAATTTATGTGGCACTTTATATAAATGCAAKTATGTATATTTTTAGATATCTACGCACATATACGTGCATGTTTGATGATCATACATACATATTATAAAGTGTATAGAGATCTACTGTTTAGATAGATGGGTAGATAGATAGGAGAAATTAATGGATATATTTTCAATCCTTTTTATATTAAAATAAAGAATAGATTGCCTCTGTACAAGAAATTCATCATTTACAATGAGATATTATGTTTCCCCYCCATGCAATATGCTTTTATTTACATGTCCAGGAATTATCTTCTCTCATATGCAGTAAAACATCAAAACAACATCTCATCAAGAATGTTAACGAGAGAAAGAGAATCTAAAAGGAGAAAATCTAAAATTCATGATTTTCATACGAAAGCTTTGTACTTCGGACTTAGAGACTATGAGGCTATATTTTATAATTTGGGAGCACTTGCTCTACAAAAAGAAAAGAAGGAAAGAAAGAAAGAAATGATTTCAGCAAGCCYTCCTCTGCGCACGTTTGAAGAGCAATTATCTACTTTCTTAAAATGATTTAAAATATAGTTGAATTTGTGCATTCCCCGTTTAGCCATTGCTTCGGAAGGGGAGAGGAGGAGTTGGACCATTTTTTAACCTTTCTTTTTTTTTTCCTTTTTTTTTTTTTTTTTTTTTTTTTCTTTCCCTCCAGGCAAACCTTCGTTTGCATTGTCCGTTTTTAACACGTTGTACCGCAAAGAGGCGACCTATTCTGAAGGCCAGCAGAGCCCATCTCTGTCTCTGAAAAGAAACAACTGAGCTTTGCAGTAGGCTGGTACACCAGGAGGGAAGGAAAGAGAAAAAAAAAAAAAAAAAAAAAAAGGCAGATACAGAGAGAGAGAGGGAGAAAGAAGGTGTTTCTGAATTCAGGGTCCTATCTCTAGAAATTTCAAGCTCTGTCTATAAGGTTCCTTCGAATCTTTGTTATTCTGCATAGGATCCTATGGGGAAGTGCACAGTGTCCTTTGTACTTTCAAAGGTCCTACAGGTAAWGCCGCTTTTATATACATATATACGTGTGCGTCTATATATGTATGTAATTTCTAAAACCAGGAAAACTTCATAAGAAGACACTTCTGGCGTTGTTTGGTTGGYTGGTGAGGAAGGTGTACTTTGCTCTTTTTGTTTGCATTGGCCCCTAATTAAAGCAGAAAGTGCAAATTCACCCCTCTTTCGCGCTGCCTCTGTAGGCGTCCCCCCTTCCCCCCCGTTTCAAAGCGCGTATTTCTGCTAAAACAGCTCAACCCGCAATAGGGAACAAATAATACCTAGTTACTACAAGAGGAGCCGGCCAACTGTTTTGTTGGAAGTTATTAAAGCAGATACGAGTTGTTTCCCCTCTCCCGCCCCCAGCAGAGCCTGTCTTTGCAGTTACCGCTACACAGAGGAGGAGGAGAAAAGAGCACATCTTTGATTTGGGTAGACCTTTTCAGACGAAGCAATAGTGTAAAAAATCCCCACCTATATTAAAAAGGAAAACGGATCCGTGATGCTTGCACTAGGCTGTACAGGGAGAGCTAGACAGGGAGGGCTAGACACAGGCTTTCATGTGCGTGCAGAGCTCAATGGCTCTCTTAGAAAAATGCCAGGCTCATAAAGGGCCACTTTGCCATCACTTTTGTTCCAGTCTTTGAGTCATGTGCTGCGAGGCTGGCACAGGGCAGAGTGGATGCGCTTCCTGACAGCTCATGCTTTACCACTTTGCGGCACCCTGAATTAGCTGTGCTCCACGAGCTGGGAGAAGAGCAGGG